ACTTCCACTGTCGTAACAGTATATTTTATAATACCGTTTTCAATGTAAGAATCTGCTTTTTCTTAGGGATCATATGGTTATTTTATTACATCCAAATATTGTTTATTTTTGTATTTGGGATAGCTACCAGGGTATCTATATTTATAAAACAACATGTATTGTTTAGAAAGTTATATAATCCATCTGCCTCTACATTCAGTTGATGCCTTTACAAAGACACCAGTCACTGTTTCTCATATACCAGTATTAACATTTTGAGTATTAACCTTTGACTTAGATAAAACTTTTGATTAAAGAAGCTCACCTCAATGTACAAAACCATCTATGGCTGAGCGTACAATAAATTCTATTTAAATATCACTCATGTTTTGCACGTGCCTATAGACCTGTGTGTGTGTGTCCATTTATTATTATGTTTGTAAAGTCTGTTATTCAACTGTAATTTACGCAGTATGAATTTTATTAACAGTTTGAATTTTATTTTATTTTAATTTTGTGCTGGTGATGAAATATGCCTATTCCAAAATGTACAAACTATAAATAAACATACCGTTTGTCACATGTATTTTTTTCTTGTTCTTACTATGTATATTAATTTAAAATAATTTTGTATTAGACAGAGCTGAAGGCTATTTTAAGCACATGTATATTTGAAAGTTTGTAAATTTGAATTACTTAGACATCTCAAGATAAATTGTGAACATTTATTGGTCATAAATTGAACCTGTTATTTGTATAACCATAAATTATATTCATTTTGAATTAATGCTGCGCCAGAAGTATTTAATTTTAAGTGATTTAAACCTTACTGTACCAAGGTGATCCTTTTAGTTAAAGATAAATCTTCTGCATATTAAAAACAAAATTTTATAAAGATGTGTAGAAGGTAAAAAGTTAATTCTAGCTTAGTTTAATTTTTTGTAATAAGTTCCCACTATTCCAAGTAGTATAATCTAGTAATTAACAATTAGTGAAACTATGATAATTTAGATTATAACTATGAATGTAATGTGCCTTAATTTATTATATAAAGCTTCATTTTCTCACTTACATCTTTATTGAACATATGTTTGTTTGTGTTTAAGGGCAAAGCTGACCATTGAGCCACTGGGTGGCTTTACTAAAGCTAGTAATTTGTTTTTATTATCCAGGTGAAAGCAAGTGATATTGATAGTTCTCCAAATTCACAACTGTTCTACTCCATTATTGGCGGGGACAAGCGAGGACAGTTTAAAGCTGACAAAGATAATGGGTACATTATTGTGGCTTCTCCCTTAGATAGGGAATTGGTAAGAATTACAAAATTGCATTATACATACACATTCTACAGTAAGCACATATTTTTAACTACATTATTTTTACAGAGTAACTGTATTTTAAGATTTCCATTTTAGTCTATTAAGCAACCAAATATTATTCAAAGACAGTCTTCCATACTAGGTTTTTAGGATTATGTTATACTTGATGTTTCTAGTCCTGTATTTAATTTTCCTCTCAGTTTATACTCCATGCATTATTCTTCTGTTCTTTATTTTGTACTGACATAATTAATTTTCTGCTCTAGGTTTCTACCTATGTATTAGAAATGGAGTGTAAAGACAGTGGTACGCCTTCCTTATCTACGGTTGTGCTGGTTAATATTGAGGTGTCTGACATCAATGACAATCCACCTTTGTTTTCACAGGCAAACTATACATCCATTGTCCAGGTAGATATCTTTAGCAATTTTGTTAATGTAAAATGGTTTGTTGAAATGTTTTATTTCAGTAAGAGGATGGATAAGGTTGGTAAGAATAAAAAATACTGATCTTGATTTATTAAAATTTTGCTGTAAAAATCGATTTAAAAAAAAAAGCATGTAAAGTTGTACTTATTAATGCATATAATTGGAAATCATGTAGGCTTAGGAGTAAGTCTTTTTTTTGTTGTTTATGTAATTGGTCAACTTTGAGAGGAAAAAAACTAATGCTCATCTTACCAAATTAGGCCTGTCAGGACTTTAAAAGTAAAACAAAATATATGTATATTTTACAGCAAAAAGTGTGATCATGTGGTACTTGGTAGAAAGTGATCAAAACCCCTAATAAAACTTTTCTATTCACAGACCTATAAGACTGTTATTAAATTTGGTAATAATTGGTACAGAGTCTGTGTTATTTATGCAAATGTATGATGGAAAAGTTTTGTGAAAACAATTGTGGTTAACTTCGGAGAAGCTTATGCCGGTAGGTAGGGTGATATTGTTGCTAATGTGAGATATGATTTATCAAGCGTATGTAGTTTCAGAAATATTTTTCTAAGTTAATAGAAACTCATTGTTTTAAAATGATGTGTTATGCATTGTGGTGCAATATCATTTGGTTAAGTTTAGTTTTTTTTTGCTAAATTAGTTCAGTAGAAATAAAACGAATGAGTTAATATTTAATAAATCTTCCAAAATCAAAAAATACCTATTGATAAATTACTCTGTAAGCCTATAACTCAACTATTCACACTCATGCTCTTACCAGTAAGTTTAGAAATAAACTTACATCTTGGAACTTTAGTTGATATTTGATGGTCACTATCAGTGATACTTTCAACCAAATAAGTTTAATATTAACTCCACCTTAGTAGATAAAAGAATTATATAAAATTACCAGGCAGGCAATAGCACTGCTTATGTAGGGATTGCTCAGATTGTTTATTGAAATGGTGTTTTAAATATCTCCTCAATAGGTCATCAGAACTTTACAATACTATACAGTGTTTTCTTTTATAACAATAGCTATGTAATTATTGAGTCACAAGTTTTGGAACTGTCTGTGAATATCACAGCAAAAAGTTTGAATTTCTTGTTCTTCTGCTTCTTCTTTTATTACATGGTAACTCAAAAACCAAAACAATGGTGTCAACCAATTTCACTGAGATGACATACTTTCAAATGGAATGTCCGCTTTGATAAGTATTATTAACTAGTAGTAATTAAAAAAAAATCATAATTCTAGTGTAAACGATGTTATCATTACCCCTTGAAGTTAGCTTTCTTACAGAAATTTAGTGTTCCATTATAAAGGTTAAGTACAGGGTGAAACAGGAATTACCAGCCATTCATAAATAATAAATATCACAGTTGGAACCTCATTGTAATTAGAACTTGGTTATAAATACAACCATCCTACATCTATTGAAACACTGATTTAAACAAAACAAGTAGAGAAAAAAATTTTCAAAAGAAGTCAATATAGAGATGGTTAATATATATCCTTCAAAAACAATTCAAACGAGATAGTAGGGATGGCATTTGCATCATCCTGACATAATAGCTGTTATGTAGGAGTGATGCAAATGCTATCCCTACTGTCTTGTTTGCATTGTTTTAGAAGGATTGATATTAGTCATCCCTACATTTATTTCCTTTTTTGAAAAGCTTTTTCTTTACTTGTATTTGTCATTTCCAAGAGACAGAGTTAATGTGCTAGTTATAATTTGATATTATTAGGAAAAAACTAAAAGTACAAGACCTTTCACTTCTTTTGTTCAGCACTATGACCATTAGCACATTATCTGTTGTTAGCTTACTCAACCTTGCATCTTTGTTTTAATTGAACATCTCTCTCTCTGTATTATGTCTGTTACTTATTTCTGTGATTACATAAGGAAGGATTGTCACAATAGCTTATCAATGTGGCATCTGCTTATTTCCTTTTATCTTTGGTTTTCTTCACATTTTGCTGGTTATGTGCTAGTTCATTTTTATTTAATATTATTTCTGTGATGTGTAGTTTGTGAATTGCTTGCTTAATCTTTTTTTTTTTTATTAAAATACAAGTTATGGTGCTTGAAATATTTTTAAAAAATTTTATCATAAGCTTTAAGCAGCCGTATTGTATTAGAATTTGTGCACCACTAGATATGATTTTGATATATGACAGTTCTTAACTGTTAGTATAAATACAGCTTCTGCTTCTTTAGTGGCTCATTTTTTAATTATGTTTTCATATGACATTAACCCATTCACTGTGGCTGGTACATATATGGCCCATAAATGTTTTTTCTGTTCACTGAATCAACTCATCAGAATCAGTGCTATCTAGTAAATCCATAAAGTAACCTAGATTTTCCCTAGCTTTATTAGTGCTTGCTGCCATGGCAGTGAGATGTTGTCTCTCTGACATCTTGAGGGAAACTGAAATATAGAAGGCAGAAATGAGTGACTTACTCTACGACAAAATTACCACAGAAATTTTTGATCCGACACCTTGCATGGGAATTTTAAAAGCAAGAATTCATATGTGTAATATTTGCAGTGAATGTGCTAATGCAGTTAGTATCTTCAGTTTTAAAGTTGCTACACAATAAAACATGTAACCAGTAAATATATTTAAGCTGCTTGCATCCACATTGCAATGACCCAGGCTCACCTGCTATAAATACCTGAAATAGGCAAAAGGAAATACATCATGACTGGAACTTGAAACCCAGATCTTTGATGACAGCTCACACTAGTATTTTTAGAATTTTACTTCACAAGCTGAGATACCAGAGCTTCAGACTTTAGTCACAAAACTCCACCTGGTTTATTACAATGTGAAACAGCAAAATTCAGAAGTGCTTACATGTATTGTTCTTGCACTGTAAAGGTTTTGCTTATTTTTTATGTGAGCACACACAAGATTTACACCTTTACAGTTATGTCACAATCACAGACTTGCAGCAGGAAGGAAATTAAGATGTGCATTAGATTTATTGTAAAATATAGACTTCCAATATAATGCCGTTTGGATCAGTATAAAAATGAAAACTTTTAATCATTATGAGAACAAGAAAATTGCAAGCGAAATGAATATGATATAATGTTCATTCAAATGTAAATAACATCCTATACAAGTACATGTTTATATACCATCCTGAAGCTACTTCCTATTTCAAGTATATTATTCATTAGTGGTATCTATCTCAGTTGATTTATCTTCTTCCTTGCAAACTTTTTTTCACTAAGTACAACTGTCAATCATTCTGCTTGGAACAATAATCAAATTATGTTTTTGATGAACAGTTTAAAACAAAATATTGTCTTTGTCTTAGCTGTTTATTTCAAACTGGAGTATACTGGTGGTAATGTTTGAGACATAAAATAAAAAAATGGTATGCATATTCTCATTTAGTAAAATATTATATAGGATATGTAGCATACAAATGTTTAGTGTATAAATAATAGCATTTCCATATAACAATATAACTTGCAGTTCTACTTTGGGTGATTGCTACAATTTAGATGAGTTGATACTTTGCACTACAGTCACAATTGATGTACTTCACATAGTGTGCCTAGCTTGGTGACAGTTGAACACTTATTGTCTTTATATTTGTATTACATGGATAAGTTAATCTCTTCTGGGTAATAGGCAGTACAAATCAGCCAGCTCTGTTGTGTATTGTTAAATTTTTCATTGAAATTTTGCTCCAGTTTTCTTCCATGAAAAAAATTCTGAGCAAATTTTGAATGCTTTACTTCTTTTTAAATTCAATTAATTATGTATATTCACTTCAAATGCAATGTGTTGTAATTTTAGGAAGGAAAACAGCGAGGTTTCATCGTACTGAAATTTTCAGTCACTGATGCTGATATTCTCCCAAACACAAGTCCATTTACTTTTGACATTGTTTCTGGAAATGAGGACAACTCTTTCCGTTTAGTTCAGCAAGATGCTTCTCTGCGTACTGCAGTAATGTTCAACTATAAGTATAAGAATGAATACATTCTTTGCATCAGGGTTTCAGATGCAGGTGTACCATCTCTTAGCAGTGAAACATGGGTCACAATTCATATCATCAAAGAAAGCCAATATCCTCCTCTGTTGAGTCCTTTGAAGGTTGCTGTTAGTTCTTATCTGGATGAATTTCCTGGAGGTGTAATGGGGCGTGTCCATGCCACAGACAGTGATCCCTATGATAAGCTGGTCTATGACATTGTGTCTTATCATAAGCATTTATTTAAAATTGATCCAGAAGATGGAACACTTGTAGCCTATGATGGATTGGATGTAGGAAGCTACAGTATTAATGTAAGTGTCAGTGATGGAAAGTTTATTTCATATGGAACTGTATTGGTGGAGGTATTTGTTGTGACTGAAGAAGCAGTCAAGAATAGTGTTGGTATTAGTTTGGATGATATTACCCCAGAGGATTTCTTACTTTCTTACAAGAAAGGATTTCTGAGAGCAATTAGAAGTATTTTAAATGTTGGTTTCCAAGATGTGGAGATAATCAGCTTGCAACCCTCCCTAGAAGAGTTTGGTAGAAGTCGCAGGAGCACGAGACAGGATCTAGATGTCTTGTTTGCAGTAAAGAATGGTATCCAAGGGTTCTATCCACCAAGTATAGTTTTAATAAAGTTAAAAGAAGAAAAGGAATCCTTTGAATCAACTATTGGTCTCCTAGTTGTGAAGGTAAAAAAAAATAAGAATTCCAAACAGTATTATTTTCTCAGATGTTTTCTGTACTCAGTTTTTTCATTCACCCTCTCATGCATCATAAATAATACCCCAGATATAGGTGGTGTGCATGATCATTTACTATTTTTTATCTTCAATACTCATTCAAACAAGAAAAAATATATAATGTGTGATTAATTAAAATTTAGTTTTGCATTTAAATTAATTTTTTGATCTATGTAGAGCATTGTTGTTTTTCATAGATCCAAGAAAAACAGAGTTTAAAATAGAAATATAAAAACCATTTGTCAGTCATTAATAAGCTTTAGGGTATTTTACATTACAGAAAATTATTTTCTGCTTCAGATTTCGAAAGCAATATGTCAGCTTTAGTCTTCAAATAAATTTTTGTTATTTGTGTTAAAAAATATTGTTTAGTGCTTACTTTTTTATATATCAAAAACCGACTAAATGGTTAAATTTTTTTTCATTTTTACTTATTTTTTCTTGTTGGAAGTATTTTAGGATAAATTTATTCATGATTTTGTGATAAATTCAGAAAATAATTAAAACTTTTTAACTTTTTATTTTTGCTTTATTTATTATTACTAGGTTACTGAAAATAGATGCACTAAAACCTTTTGTGACCATGGAGAGTGTATTGATAATGTTGTGCTAGACAAAGTCCATGCTATTAGCATTACAACAAAGTCCTTTAGTTATGTTTCTCCACAACATTATAGGCACTTGGAATGTCACTGTGAACCTGGTTATGGCGGTATGTTTGCTATTCTCTTTAAATGTAATAGAACATGCCCAGGGTAAAAACTATTAATTCATAACTTTTGGTGATATATTTGAAGTACTAATAATAATATTTTTTGTAAATATTATGCTAATGTGGTGATTTCAGTTAAATCGATTTCCGAAAAGATTAATTAGGTAGGTCCACTATATATATTGGGAGGTTTTAGCAAGATATGTTGCAAACAAATACTGAGTTTTGCTAAAACTAGTTAAGTATTTACTAAGCAATAAATAGACTTGACACAAAATGTGATACGCAATGAAAAAAATCTTTACTTAAGACAAATCAACAGCACATATACTTCACTTTATGGAAGATAACTGTTACCTTTTACTGGAGTTGTGAATTACAAAAGCTGGCTATACTTCCTCAAGACTTATTCCCAAGCTGACCAACTCACTAAAGATGATGTTCCACAGTGACCAAGTGTCAGAATTACCTTGAGTAATTGGCACTATCTACATGACTGGTCTGTCCTATTCATATATAACGAAAGTTTTAACCTTGAGATATCACCTGACCTACCATAGGAGGATGCTGTTGTCAACCTTCAGCTTTACAGTTATACTACCCATGGGCAGACCAGATGTTATCTCCAAGGGATGACAAATAGTAAAGGTAGCTAGAAAGAAATCAACTTAATGACTTTTTTGGCCACATGTTATGCAAAAACTACACATATTAAAATAAGAAGTTAGATAATGTATGGTATATTTGCATACCACACTCATATGTACAGGTCATTTTTTAATATTGAGTGTGTTTGGAATTCTTGGATTTCTGAGTTTGTTTGTTACAAAACCAAATAAATGTGATTATTGAATGTGTATAATCTTAATACTAATATAGTATTTGCCCTTTTCATATTTAAGATTATATTTTTCTCAATTTAAACATACAGTAAGATGTATGGTATATTTTTCACTAAAAAATCTAGTGATTAAATTTAATATTTAAGTTATAAACAAATGGAAATTATAAGCTTATTCATTTAAGCTGTTTAAAATAAAGTAAAATACATATCTGACACCTAGGGACAGCAACAAATGTTAAAAGCTAGGATAGTAGTAGCTTAACTCAAGAAACTGTGACCAAATATTCAATTTGGCAGGCCTTTTCATGAGAAAAACCATCTATGTATGGTGATTCACATGTGCAAATGAATTTGTGGATGCAAGGGTGCTTAAAGTGATGTATTATGACAAGGAAATAGCAAGAAAACATTAACTCTTTAATGATATCAAATCCACAGCCAATAATTTCTGATTTCCTTTAACCTTGAAATGTTTTCAATTCAATTTTATTGCCTTTGATTGCATCTTCTGTATTTACTTCACAATTGATCATAATAAATTAAAGATCTATTACTATGCTGCTCCAATTTTTTTATAGGTAACACATTTCCACCTTTCTCAAGAGTATATAAAATTCTAATATGATGTGTGAATGAATATTGAAAGTGAATTAGTCATGTAGTCTTTTTTGTGCAATTTAAAATTATATAAAGCCCATAAAAACTTTCGGGAGCAACAGGGAGCCTATTTGTTGATGCATGCTTTATGTCTGATGGTCAAATGTTAGAAATCTAAAAGTTTCATAACAATTATGCCAATTTAAACTTTATAGTATGTCAGTATTTATTGGAAATTCAAACAAAGTACTAAACTTTTCTGTGATGTTTAATTATATTTCTGCATATAAGAAAAAAGCACACTAAAAGTTTCCACATGCCTGGTCACTTTTTTTAGGCAGATCCATTACAACCTAGGACATGAGATACAGCAAGTTATATATGTATATATAATATGTTATTTTCTGGTATTTTATATTCCACAGCCCAGAACATAAAACTTGATTACCACTCTAACTTAGAAATATTTAACTTTAGCCAGCAAATAAATATTTAAAATATGATTTAACTTGCTGCTGATTGAAATAAGAGACAATGACAGATTGATACCCTTCATTGATTCTTACACAATATAAAATAAACTGAACAGAATTCAGTCAGTCTAAGTTAAAATAAATTAACTGAATGGAGGTTAATATTAACTCAAAGTTTGACTCTATTAAAAGCCACAGACAAAAAAATACAAGAAGATGCTGACCAGTAATTCAACCATCTCAGAGATAGCAAGTACCACAGTTGCTATGTGTAGAAACCAACATATTTAACTAACTGACTTACAACAAAGTTTCTGGTTTAGAAACAGAACTTGGAAAATTTGAAAAGTTTGTAACTAAAACTGAACTAAGCTATACAAAAGGAGAGTAGGTGGCAGCTGCTTATATTATAGTTTTCTCCTCGACAGGAAGTCGTTGTGAACATGAAGTGAATGAATGTGCACGCCGACCTTGTCCACAGTACCACATCTGTATTCCACATGGATCTTCACTAGGTTATACGTGTAAATGTCCAGATGGAAAAACGGGTGCATTTTGTGATTTGGAGAGAGGAACTTCCTGTCATGGTCCTTCATGTTATGAAGGTAAATCGTAATAGCTTGCTGTATGTGATAGAAAAAAACAACAACTATGAACATCTAAATGTTATCATGTATGAATTTTAATTACTTTGAAGCTGTTTATTTTCTTAGCAAATTGTCACTATTTTAAGGTTAATGATAAATGAGCAGTTACTGTTAAATGTACTGCATTAACATGTACAAGTCTGGATTCTTCATTTCCCAGTTAACTTATCAAATGAAAAGTGTTATATATTAATATAAAGGTTTTGAAATTCACTAGGTCCTATTTTCTCTAGTAATGTCATTGTTTGAAAAACAGGACATTTTAGAATACTATAATTCTTAAAATAAATTCATTAGTTTGTTTGATATATTCCAGTTTTTGAATATATAATATATGAATACTACAAGCAACAAGTTTTTCATCCAATCTGATATATTATAAGGAGTTAAGATTTCTGGTTATATTATTAACACACACCAAATAAAATGTGATTCTGACATTTTCTGAATTACATTAGTTGTAAGATTTCATGTTTTTATTGAGTGTTGTTGAACAACTTTTAAGGTACTTCTCAGTCCTTGTTGACTCGCCTGAATACTAACTGTCTGCCTAGCAGGTTATAAAAATATTGAATGCAACAAATCCATTATAAAAGATAAAAATGTCAATATATCAGGATTGTTGAGGGTTGTGCTACGAATATTTAGCATTTCAATAGTATATTTATAAGAAGTTTCTTTTACTGTAATGCTTTTCTTCTAGTAGGCTATTTTTAAAGTTGATATTTAATGGTAGAAGTATTTTATCCAGACCCATGCATTGTTACAAAGTTTTGGAATCACCCCCTTCATGGTCATACTTTACTACAAGTGTGACACCTCTGTAGTTTTCTTGCTGTTTCATAAAGTTTAATTGACATTATTCATTTTTTTATGATATAATAACTAATAGCACACTCATCATGACTATGGTATTTGAATGGCTTTTTATCTTTAATATTGGACATGGGATGCCCACAAAACCAGGAGTCACTTATCAGCCAAAATTTATCACAATGGAGTTCCATGGGTATAATTTTCTGTACTCTATCCTCTTAGCTATGTTTCAGTTTTTAAAATATCTATAATACAATTTTTGCACAAACTGTTAAAATATATTGAGCTGTAATATACCTCATCAAATAAAAAAAAATCATCAGTCTGCATGACAAACATGAAGTCACATTCTTGGTGTTGTAGAAGTTGCTAGTTACGCATTTCGTGTTTTCTGGAAGGTTTTTCTTTCATTTCAGTTATCTCATTGTTTCTGATTTAATATTTTTACATTACTGTAAGTTTGTAGTTATCTTCACTAGAGCCCGGCATGGCCAGGTGGTTAGGGCACTCGACTCACAATCTGAGAGTCGCGGGTTTGAATCCCCATCACACCAAACATGCTCATCCTTTCAGCTGTTGGGGCATTATAATGTGACGGTCAATCCAACTATTCGTTGGTAAAAGAGTAGCCCAAGAGTTGGCGGTGGGTGGTGATGACTAGCTGCCTTCCCTCTAGTCTTACACTACTAAATTAGGGGCGACTAGTGCAGATAGCCCTCGTGTAGCTTTGCGTAAAATTCAAAAACAAACAATCTTCACTAGAAAATCCACAGATAACACAAACGATAAAGAGATATCTAGTCTTCATAAATTATTGGCCTTTTGAATGGGTTGCCCTTTAGATATGGTGGATGCAGTTAAACTCCCTTAAATTTTCAGTATATTGCTTTAGTATGAAAGTGAAAATCTATAATGAACAAAAAAACAGCCTTAAATTTTCTTCACTAAAATTATATATTCATGGGAAAATGTAGAATTCAATTGTTTTTTTGTGATAGCAGATCTTCATTGTTGATGTTTTAATTTATAGATATGAATAGTACTTTTTTATACTTTGTTTATACATAAAACAACCCATGGGTAGATTTTCTCTTCAGCATATAATGAGTGTTTTAAAATGTTATTAAGGAAATTAAATCTACATATTTTGAAGCTATAGAGTTTTTAAATGAACAACCTAAATTCATGAAATGTTTCTTTTTTTCTAGAGAAACATCCAATTTACTTCAGTGGAAAGAGTTACACTCACTATGAACTGAACATTCCCTTGAATCGTCACTTAAGTGTGGCTCTGCGAATCAGGACAAAGCTGGCAACTGGAAATTTGATGTATGCTGCTGGATTAAGAGATTATAGCATTTTAGAGGTAAAAGTATTAATTATATGATACAGTATTATTATAAGTTGCTCACTTCTTATAAGGAAAATAACCTAAAGTCTTTAAAGTATAGAAATACCAAAAAGTACTAATTTGAATGTGGGGCTAAAGTATATCCCTATAAATTCTTATCAGTAAAACTAATCAAAAACAAATAAGTATGACAAAAAACAGAAATAGGAAGAAAAGCCAGAAAAAATAAGAATTTTTAACTATTATCAGAGTAAAATCTTATCACACTAAGAGAGAGCTTTAATAGATTTATTAGTATCACTAGCCAAGTTTCCCGGCGTTGCACGGTGAAAATTTAGATTTGAAATGTATAGATCAATATTTTTTTCAGCAACTTATTCAGTAACTAGACAAAAGCTGTGATGCAAGAAATAAAAAAGTATTTGATCAAACAAAGCTTTATTTGGAATTAGATCATGTTTGAGCTTGTCTTGTTTTTTGAGCCTGACGTTGACCATCATGTTGCTCCTCTGTTTCTTGCTCTCTGTAAGTTATTTGTCTTAATTTTTGTGCTTAAAGTCTGGTTTGACGTTGTTCAGAAGTTTCTTGTTGTCTATATCAAGCTTTCCTTGATGATTCTGACTGAACTCTGGCTTTGTGCTGTTCAACAGTTTCTTGCTGTTTTTGAGTAGCCTGCTATTCAGCTTGAGCTCAAAGTCTAACTTTACATTGTTCCAAAGTCTATTCCTGTATTTGAGCAGCCTGTTTTACAGCTTTGCTTGAAGTCTTTGATTATGTTCTTCTTCTGTTTCAGCTGCTCTTTGTGCTTGCATTCTTTTAGTGGCAGAAG